CAGAATAAACAACCTTGAAACAGCACAGACCAATTATGGCTTCTGCTTTGGCAGCGGGGCAGAAAGACAGAGACTTTCTGCAATCTCGGAATCACCAATACCCACAGATTCCGACAACCTCCTGCAAGAAGAAATCATGGAAACTCACAGGACTCCAATGGCTTCACCCTGCAGGGAGTTAACCATTGCTTTTCCCAACTGAGATCTTCCTGAGATGCCTTGGGGCTCAGGGAAGGGGGAGAAAGGTAGTGATTAAAATAATCGTCCCCAAACCTCCTTGATTTTTCACAAAGCATCCTGGCTTTTGATAACATCTTCTTCAAGTATTTATCGAACCAATTAAACTCTCTGTGGTGCCCCAGGGAGAGGCCAGGCTGTCTCAGCCAGGCCCTGCTTGGAACAATTGCTTCATTAGCCCACTTCAGAATCAAAATACATAAATCCACTATTAACCCTTCTAAAACCAGGGAAAACTAAAACCAACAGGGAGACATTACTTCCATTCAATCCTTTTCTTCTTTGTTCTGTTTGACATAGGAAGTTGTTGAGCTTTTTTAAATGCAGGAAGAAAGCTGGCACGTGTAACTGTTGAAACAGAATCAGAGTTAGAATAATGTTGCAATTATTATCAAAGCATGGAGTGCTGGCTTCATTCTAGTGGCTGTTTTTGGAAGAATGCTGCTTCTAGAAGAGGGGAAAAAATTTTGTTTGGGACAGAGATTCAAAGCCAGATCCAAAATTTCCAGGTGCTTGGAGACAACTGAATCGAGGCCCATTTCCAAGCTGATTTTATTTACTTTACATATACACACGAAGACACACAGAGTCCTGAAATCACTTTTACTGACATACCACAGGCTGCAGTTCCTGCTGCTCCACACGGCTACAACACAAACAGCCAAATCCAGAGATGAGGAGTAAGATGCCATGAGGTTGGTTCCCCCAATTCCCAACCTTGGTGCTGCTTTTAGGTTTGTTTTTAGGGACAGTGACTTTGCTGCCACATACCTGGGCCTGCCAGCACAGCCCCTCCGTGTGCAGCTGCAAAGATCCTCCTCAAACATGCCCAAATCCACTTCCCAGGTAACAACTCAGGAGAATGAGTGGCTTCAGATGCCCCAGCTGCATTGATATTCCTTTTCTGCCTGAGGCTGGAGTGGTACCTGCCAGCTGGGAAGCCAAAGGGAAGTGGGAGCACTGTCTCAGCTGCCAGACACGGCCCCTCCAGGGCTCCAAGGCTGGCAGAACTCCCTGCCCATGGGCACTGTGCCCCCAGCACTGCCAGCCCAGGGGTGCTTGGCTGCTCCAGGTTTACTCAGGGACACTGAAGAGGGTCAGGCATCACTCTGCTGGTGGCGCTTTCCAGTCAAGAGGATCAAGGTGGCTGCCAAGGGTCTTTGTGCCAGTTCTGCTGGCACAGAGATCAAAGCAAACCAAAGAGAAAATCAGAACAAAGCACGCAGGCAGCAGCTCTCTGAAGCTCCAGACCTCCTTGACTTACAAGTGCCTGTGACACTCAGCCTGACAGCAACACGCCAGCAGAGCCCAACACCAAGGTGACAGCATGAACTTGCAAGAAACAGTTCTCAAAAGCATGATAGTCACCTGCAACCAGTCTCAAAGCATCCCTGCCTCCACCTACAGCTGACACAGACTGGAATAATATCACCTCCTCAAATTTTCCAGCTTGGCCAAGGCATGAGGAGACATGGAGGAGCATGGGAATGACTCAAAGCAAACAGCAAGCCACGCAGTGCTGAGCTTGTGGGTAACGCATGGATGATTTGCATTCATTTTAACTCGTGCTCAGTGGAACAGGACACCAGCAAAGCTGCCTGAGTAGTTCCACATACTCCTTTCAGGGATAGGCACTTCTGAGCATGGCACAGACCCTGTGCCCAGCCCTGCTCAGGGTTCCAGGGCACAGACAGCCGGGGTGTGCTGAGACACCTTCCCCCCCACTCAGTGCTTTGTGGCCACGGCTTTCTCTTGTGCTGCATGGGAAGGAGCCAGCAAAAGCTTACAGACCAGGATCTGCCCCCCAAATACTCCCAGGAGCCAGCAAAAGCTTACAGACCAGGATCTGCCCCCCAAATACTCCCAGGTCCATCCTTGGGGTGCTGGGGCTCCCCTCTGGAAAGCGGAGATGGTGACTGCCACCCTGTCCCCAGCTCTGCAGGGCAGCGGCAGACCCCAGACCTGTGGCCACTGTGGGTGTGGGGTCACAGCACGGCGTATTTTTAACACCTCATTGACTCACAAGGCTCTAAAAAGCGCCCAGATTCTCCAAATGCCTCTCGGCTCTTGCACTGAGCACCGGAGCCCAGAATAGCCGCACCTCCTGCCCTGTGCCAGCAGGTTCCTCTGCAGCTCCCAGGGGAAGAGGAGATGATCCTGCCCGGCGGGAGGGCAGCGGAGCCGGACAGAGGCGGAGCGGGGCCGCGGCTTTGTTTACAGGCAGAGAGGCTGCTGGAAGCAATCCCCGTCCCGGGGTCATTCCCACTCCCATCCGCCTCTCCTCTCAGCTCCAAAAAAGGATCACTCCCTGTTACATAACGGGACGGGCGCAGCGCGGACCCGCGCTCGCACCCGCGGCCGCCCTGGACTCAACAATCCCTTTTTCGGTCATGGAGCCTTCCTCTCCCACTGCCACCGAACTGACAGCGGGAGACGGATGGTGCCTGGCTCCAGCTAGCCCGGCTCGGGAGAGGGGGAAGGAGGAGTGGGGTGGGATGCTCCTTGCAGAGAACAGGGAATGGAGCAGGTCGGGAGGCCCCACCATCAGTAACAGTGTGCTCACGGCAATCACCTGATGGCACTGCCAGCCCAGGACAGACAGTCCTCCAAGAAGAGGGGGACTGGCTCTTGGGAGAAGCTGGATCTTGTTCTTGGTGTGAGTTTTGTTAGTTTGTGGTCATTTCTATCACTCTGCACCGAGTGTCTCATGCCAGAGCGGAATCAACATCTGGCAGCTGCAAGAAGGCAGCAGGAGCAGCACCTGCTCTCCAAATACAAGCTGGCAGAGGAGCACCCAGCAGCAACCCTCCAAACACTGCCAGGACACCTCCTTTTCATCCCCTACCACCTCACCCAGCCACTGGCAGGAACAGGGAAGGATCTAATCTCTGGAAGGGATGATGCCCACTCATACTTTGTGACCAGCAATGGTTGAAGACACGACTCAAATCCATCTGCTGTCCCATGTTTGTCGGCCTGCTCTCAGAGGCAGGAGCATCAATTCCTTGAATAGCAGATGCTCCCAGCAGAGTTTCTGGTACTTTCCCCACCTGTAAAGGGTCCCCAGACACGTGGCCAGCCAGAATGGCAGTGCCAGGTCTGGCTGAGCAGCGATCAAGTTGTAAATACTTAAATACATGAGAAATGTCACCAATCCACACTGTGTCCCCAGACAGGCAGGTCTGAGCTGGAGACCTTCTGGTCTGCTTAGGACAAGAGTGACCACCTGGGCCAGGAATGAGTACAAGTCTCAGGGACAGGGTGAATGGCAAACAGCAGGAAGGCTCCCCATTCCCAGATCTCTTCCACTGTGGAGGTAACTACAGGCAGCAGAAATGGGAGGAAAATGTTCTCTGCAGCAACACCATCCTCTTGGCGACGGGTCAATCCCCATTTTGCAGCTCTGTCCCCTGGGATTCCTAATTGTCCCAGAACAAGAGCAGAGCCAGCCTCAACCTGTGGATTTCAGCACGGACACAGGATTTGTTCACGAGGTTGCTGTTGCACCCTGAACTGATGGGGACACCAAGAAGTCCCAGGGCCTCCCCATATCACCCCCCCCAGAGCTCTGCCTGCAGCACATGTGGGTTCACTCTGACCTATTCAAGTGGAGCAGCTACAAACACATTCCTCCTCACTCTAACCCACCAGCAGAACTCTGGGAGCTCCTCCACCTTCCAGCACCAGGATGTGCAGTGTGTATCCCAAATTCTCCACGTGTGGGTGCTGCAGGCTCCCTGGGTGACCAGGACACAGCTTATTAGGAGGTGATGATGTGCCTGTTGAAGCTCTCATACGTCTGTGCTTACACACACAGATTGGGTTGCAGCTTGTTCCCAAGAGGCCATTCTGGAGAAGTGGGAGCAGCCCCCACCTCCTGCCACTGCAGGAACAGACCAGGACTGAAGGACAGCAGTCCCTGACCTCAAAGCACTTTGGCAATCTCTGCTGAGGGCAGCTCAGGTTACCAGCTGGGTTATAATGAGCTGCCCTGCACATTCTGATGCTGGTTTTGGATACCTGCAGGAGAAGAAAGGGCGCAGGAGTGGGAAAAGCACTGCTGCAAGACTCTCCCAAGCCCTTCAGGGAAGGCTTTCCTTGTGCTCTAAAAAACCACATCCTCAGCTAGTGATAGTCACCAACCAACACCAAAAAACAGGAATTCTCTGTTTGTGTGTCTTGGCCTTGAGCCTTACCACCCAGAGGCCCTGGCCCCAGGAAAGCTTGGCAAGTCCATCCCAGCTGGAAAGGAAGCCTGTCCCTACTCCATGTGTGGGTCCCTGCCCCAGGCACAGGCAGAGCAGAGGGGTGCAGCAGTGAGAGCAGAGACCACACTCCGAGCTGTCAAGGACAAGTCGCTGTTCCCTGGGCCTGTTTATTCTGCTTTTGCAGAAGGAACAAGCTGAAGCCCTGGGCAGCAACAGAACAAGAGGCTGATCGAACCTAGAGAGCCCCAGAGCTGGGCACTGCTGCCCTCGCATGAGCCAGAACTCCCACTCCCAGGGCTGGATCTTCCCTTTCCCTGATATCAAAGGACAGGAGGCTGCCCATTAGAGCTGCACCACTGCTCATGGAGAAAACAGCTCCTGGTGCAGATCTCCAAGGGGTTTCTCCACATTCGTGGAGCACCTGCTTTACAGAACCTTGCTGGCTGATGCACACACACAGCATTTTTCTGCATTCAGGCACGAGCTCCACTTCCAACTCTGATTCCAAAGGGAATGCCCCTCACAGAGCAGCCAGGTTGCTCACTCTGGCCTTACCTTTGAACAAGGGTCCCAAAGAGCAGGTTGAAGACCTTCTGGATGTTCTCCGTGCACAGCCAGCTCCAGTGATCCACCAGCACCAGACGAAGCACGTCCAGGGCCAGGTCAGCCAAAGCTGTCTCGGAGTCTGCCAGGAGGAAGAGGAGGGGCAGATAAAGAAACCACTTCAGTGCAAATCTGGTGAAAAGCATCATCCCAAACTCTTTCTTTTCTCCCCAGCTGGCCCTTTGTCCACACACAGATGACCTGCTGCAGCCCAGCCAGCCTGGGACCTGCCCTCCCCACTCTGATTTCCACCTCATCTGGGCAGCCCCAGCCTCCCACCAAGGGCTGCACCAAAGACTCTGTTCCTTCTTTGGGATTATCAAACCCCAGTCCATGCACAGGGATGGCCACGGTGGCAAAGCAGGTGGTGACTGTGGCCAGGAAGAGGTGCACAGCTGAGCACCTCTTGGTCCTCCCCATTCCTTTCCCTCCTTCCAGCAGTTTTCCAGGCACGAGGCTCTGTTGGTGGCTGCGGGCTGCCATCGTGTGGCAGATCCCAGGCTCGGCAGGAAGGGGGATAAAACACATCTGGATAAACCAGATGTACCAGTTAAAACACAAACCCACACACCTACCCAAATATCTCTGCTGTCACAGACCTGGGACGCCAAACCTCCCTCTGATCCTCAGGAGGATGTCAGAGCCTTCAGCTAAAACAGTTTCTACTCGCTGAGGAATTACTTTCGTGCTGTTTGGCCCTGAGGTGTTGTGCTGGACAAGCTCACTGATGTGCCACAAAACTGCCCCAGACTGCCACTCCCAGGCCACCACCCCGACCTGAGGCTGCTGCCTTGGCTCTGTTAGGTGAGATCCTGTGCAGCAGCTTTTCCTGATTTGGCTCCCCTCATGCCTCATCTTCCAAACTCTCTGTCTACAGAGACAATTTACACTCACAATTTACTACTGGAAATAAAGGGAGGAGGGATTCTGGACCTCACAGCTCTCCTCCTCTGCTCTACCTCTTCCTAAAAGCTGGACTAATTAATTCCAGGATTTCACTTTGAAAAAACAGGGCACTTGGCACCTCTTGCTCTGGGCCATGCATAAGTTACTGCCCATTTGCTTTGTCCTCTGAGACTTGACTTCCCAGTGCAGGGTCTGGAGCAGGCTGTTCAGCCTCCCCACAACCTCACACAGGGAGCAAGCATCCTCAGCAAGCTGTTTATTCCCACAGCATCCAAATCCTCTTCCTCAGAGAGCTGCTGGCCAGCCCCTTCCCAGAAGTCACTCCATGAGCAGATAGGGACATGGGTTTGCCTCTTTATCCAGACATTTGTTCTCCTCACCCTGCCAGCCCAGCCTGAAGCATCCCAGACCTGCAAGCATTTGAGATCACTGACATTCCATTTCCCTCAGAGTTCAGCTAACTTGGACTGCTCTGTGCAGAACCCTGGCTTCCAACTCCAGTCCTGCTTCCCCAGAACTATGGCCATGTGTTCCAAGATTACAGGCAAAGCTGGTAGCACAGGCTGGGTTTCAGAACACCAGGCCTAGCCTGTCACAAACACGTGCTTTCAGTCAGAGCTTGCCAAACTTGAACCACTGGAGAGAAGTTTTTTGGGAAGTTCCAGTAGATACAGCTCAGCTAATTCCAAGAAAAGGACTGGAGAACATATTTTTGCAAGTGTTCAGGATAATCTTGTAACTGTTCTGGGGCAGCCCTGTGCTTCAGAGGAGGGTTCTAGAAGCAGAAAATGAACATCATTCCTTGAACTGAGATTACATTTGTGCTCCTCCCATCAAATCTATCTGAACCTAATCTCACAAGGGCCTTTTATAGTGTATGGACATATGAAGGCTGACTGGAAACTACCAGGAAACTGTAATTTGGCTCATTTTTAGTTTGTAAGAGCTTGATTTTAGAACATCAAATCTATCTGAACCTAATCTCACAAGGGCCTTTTATAGTGTATGGACATATGAAGGCTGACTGGAAACTACCAGGAAACTGTAATTTGGCCCATTTTTAGTTTGTAAGAGCTTGATTTTAGAACATTGCCAGTCTAAGCACCATGTCCTTAAGAAATTTCTTTGTGCAGTGACTGTGCTGAGCACACCAAAGTGAACAAATCTGCAGTGACACAACTGAGCCAAAATCCAATTTGCTCCCACCAGCAACAATGCCCAGAGCAATCACCAAACAGCACTGGAAAACCTAATCTGCTTTCTGTTTTATCACGATGCAACAGGCAGGAGAGCAGGTTCTGAAGACTTTTCAAGCTGAACCTGCAGATGTTGGAGCTGCTGTGGTACCGAGGGGGAGAAATTCAAGCACTGAGAGAGGGGCAGAGCTCACCAGAGTCAGTGTCTGGATGTGCTCCCGGCTCTGCTGTGCTCAGCCCATCCATTTCTTCCTGCACAGAGATTTCTTTGGCTTCTCTGCCTCCCTGGCCTTCAGGAGCTTTGCTGGGGACTCCTTCCAGCAGCTTCTCCTGCTTCTGGATGAAGGATTCCATAGCAGCCAGCGACAGGGTGCCAGAGACCTACAAAAGTGTGTTAGTGCCACAGAGCCTGGGGTCTGCAGTGCCTAAACAACCTCCCACCTCCTGGTTTGCACCCAGGTGTAGCCAACAGCACAACCAGGGCTGCTTATTGTCCTTCTGCCAAGAGCTGGCATGTGGCAACAAGGCTGCAGCAGCCACAGCCCTGGTGGATGTTGATTATTCCCAACCAGGGCAGTGACTGGGGCTGTGAAACGATTACAAGAGGATCTGAACTTACAGCATTGCCCTCCCTGATGGAGTACACGATCCTGTCATGAGCTTCACTCCCACTCAGCACTGGAGTGATTTTACTGGATGAGAACCTCAGCCTGGACCTGAAAAGCAGAGCCACGGCACAGTCAGTTTTCTCTGCAAGCTGCGAGTCATGAGTTTTCCAGCCTCAGCCAAGCCCCATGGCCTGCTACTGTTGTCCACATCCAAGCTAAGAAATCTGATTAGACCTGAAGCAGTTCAAAAAAATCATTTGCCTCCAGGATAACTAAGAGATGGCAGTGAAACCACACAGCAAAAGCATTAAAGCACTTTTCCTCATGTACACCTGAGCTGAGCCAAGGTTGTCCAGCATTCCACAAGGAGCTTTGCACAGAGGCTGATAGGGAGATGTAGGCAGATGTCAGAAAGGTGTGAGCACTGCAGCACACACAGGAAGTGCTCAGAAAAGCCTCTGAGATGAAATACACTCAGCAGGATTGTGAAATCCAATTATAAACACTGACAAAAAGAGGGATACGAAAGGACATTGGGATTTTGGGACAAATTATAAAATAGCCTGTTTATCATTAAGGAATGTCCTTTTCATCCAAAATGGTTCCAAACTTATACTTTTTGAATTTGTCTTTCTGTCCAAAGCAGCTTTTTCCAGCAAAACATTACTTTTTGCAAAGAAAAAGCCATACTTGTGCAGGAATCTTCCCTTCCTTGGTGAGGGAAGAACCACTGATGAGACAATCACAATGAAACTGGGAAGTGTCAGCAGCACCAACATTTGGTGAGGAACATACATGAAACAATCTTAAATATTACTCATAAACAGCTATTTAAATGTTTTCTGGGCAAGGCCATGTTGGAACACAAGGGAAAGGCAGGAGGGAACTTTCAGGTAGATAATTTAGAGCTGGATTTTGCAATCACTCTCTGTATATATTTAAGGTTAAAAAGCAAGTCCTCAGGAGCATTAGCGTCTCTGCTGGCAAATGGCAGCACATCAGAGCTCCTTTAGGAAGAAACCTTCTGTGGAAACCTGAGTGCTCCTGGGAAACCCTTTAGATAAAGTGGAGCTCAAACAGTTGTGCTCAGCAAGGGAAGGAGGAAGTAATTCAGCTAGAGTATGATAGAATTTACTACCCAACACAGAATTTATTCCCAACACAGAAATCACCAAGTCAGTTTTTCCCCACCATGGGCTCAGTTTATGCATTAATTCCTTGTTCTGCAAAGCTGAGGGAGCCCTTACTTGCTTTTCTTCCCGTCTGTCTGGGATTTCCCATCCACTTCTGACTCACTCAGATCCTCCGTGGGGCTCTGGGGCTCTGACCTGGGGAACGCTGTCTTCAAGGTGTCCACAATGGCATTGACAACAATCTGCAAAGCCAGCACTGCCTTTAATTAGTGGATTGATCCTTGTTACTTACATTTATCAGGAGTTTTGAGACTTGCACTGGATTTGCTATTAAATAGGTTCTTTAACACAAACTCTGACCCTCCGTAGCTTTATGGGTTTCTGGGCAAGCTGAGCCCAGCTCTAAAGAAAGGGTTTTGGCTCCCAGGAGATGCTGAAGCCTAGGAAGCATCTCTGGGGGCAGCTGGAAAGGGCTCAGGTAAGCAGCTCCCCATTTCCTCACCTTGTCTATCCTGGAGACAACAAAGGGCTTCTTAACAAAGGCAATCCTGGCGTCGGTGTTGAGGGCCAGGAATTCCTGCACCTCCTCGCTGTTTGCAATCTCAGGCACTGCACACAATTGCTGCAAGGACAGATGGAGATTTAGGTCATTTCAAAGTCAAGCTCCTGACCTGATCATGGAACATGGAAGAGACGTGGTGTGCTCCACTGTCTGCACAAAGCTGTCCTGAGCTCTGCTTTTAGCTCACAGGGGCACACTAACATCTCACCTTCAGGAAAGATTCCAGCAGACTTTTCCTGGCTTCCACTTTATCGCTGTCCATGTTTCCAAATGGCAGATCAGGGAACAGTTTCTTTGGTCCTTTGATGTCTACAAAGAAAACAACCCACAGGAAAGATTGAGAAAACGGCAAAATCACAGTAACTTTAATTTATAAGACTTTTAGATCCTAAAAAAAAAAAAAATCAAGATTAAAAATTAAAATTTTAGAATCTAAATAAAGATTTTAGTCTTTATTAAAACCATAATGTTCTAATTATTAAGGCTATCCCCACACACTGCCTTCCATCAGCAAAAGGTGACACCAGTGTTTCTCTCCACTGTTATGGTGCAAAACTGCAAAGTTGTGGAATGGGACGAGGAGTTCTTTTAAACACTAGAATTTACTTCCAGAAGAGATAAATCATTCCTCCAGCCAGCTCTGCACAGAACACTGGAGAATGTGGGCAGGAGACACAGCCCAGCATCCAGAGCTGCACAAGCAGGGCAGGCAGCCCTGGGAGCAGAGGAGCAGGGAATGGGACAAGAGGGAGAAGGATTTTCTCGGAGAGCTGCTGCAGGCACTGACTTTTCAGGAACTTGCGGAGCTCTGGCTTCTCCTCCAGCCGGGTCTGGAGGTTGAGGAACTCGCGGTAGCGGCGGTTGACGGTGTGATAAGCCACCTGCTGCAGGCTGCCCGCCGCCTCGCCCTCCAGGGCTGTCTCATACTGAGGAGGAAGGCAAAGGCATCATCCTGACACATCCTTGTGTTGCCCCTCAATCCCCAAGCCCCACCAGCAATTCCTCATGTCAACCCTTCCCTGAAGAGGAAGGAACCAATCATGATGGAACAAAAGCAGGAAAGGATTCAGGCAGCCCCACAGGAATCCCAAACAGGCACAGTGCCTGGTATTTCCCCATTACCAGACAAATCTACTGTGGACACACACAGAGAGCAAGTCCTCAGCTGCCCAGGGCAGGGGTGAGTGCCCGGGGAGCCCTTACCTTGACGGTGTACAGGGTGTAGGGGTGGAAGCCGGTGCCGCTGTGCTCCCGGGCAGTGATGGTCCCGGTGATCCGCAGGTTCTGGATGACGACCGGCCCGTCGGGGCTGCTCAGGGGCTCGAAGCTGAACGTGCTCATGGAAGCTGTCGGGGAGGATGAGAGCAGGGGCAGGCCCTGCCCAGGCTCTGGGGGAAACTGTGCTGGGCCTTCTGCTGCCCCCAGATCTCTCCCCAGGCTGGAGGGTCTTCGTGAGGAGAACCTCCTGGGGATAGCTGGGCTTTCCTCCTCCTTCTCAACCGCTGGCTCGATCTGGATGTCAGGGCAGGAGCTCAAAGCAGAGTTGGGAAGCAGGCTAGCATCCGAGCTGGGGCCAGGGCCGTGGTCCAGGGCCCCTGTGCCATCCTCCACAGCAGGTGCTCCCGCTGGCACAGAAGGGTCCTGGAGAGGCTCATCAAGGAGCTCTCCAGCAGGGGAAGGAGCCAGCAACTCCACCTCCTGCCCCATGTCAGGTGCGGGGGATTCCAGCTCCAAACCCTCACAGGGGAAGAGGGATCCCAGGGCTTGGGGGCGCAGGAATGATTCCTCTGCGTGGCATGACCTGCTCACCTCCTCTCCCTCCTGTCCAGCAGCCCCTGCCTCTCTCCTGAGCCCCTCGGCAGCCCTCGGGGACAGGGGTAGCCTGGCGGGAGCTGCGTCCGTCTGTGCCGGGAAAGGCAAGGAATCCGGCACTGGGGGCGCAGGGTGGGGCTTCCCACCGCGGGGCTTCTTGGAGAACGCCCCGATCAGCAGCAGGTTGATCCAGTCGGGATCAGACATCTTCCTGACGGCCGGCAGCAGCACGTTGCAGGCCACCAGCTCCACCACCACGAAACGTCCTGTCCGCGTCTCCAGGTGCGGCGGCGGCACCAGCGCCCGCAGCAGCGCGTCCACTGCTGCCCGGGCACAGCCCACCTCGGCCGCGGGGCTCAGCAGAGCGGGGTGCGGCCCTGCCAGCCGGCTGTACTCCTTCCACAGCGTCTGGCCGCCCTCGGGGTCAGCCCTCAGGGCGTCCCGCGCCCGCAGGAAGCTCTGGAGGTGCTGCCCGCACAGCAGGAGCAGCCGCCGGGCCAGGGCGCGCCGGTCCACCCGCCTCATCCTCCGCCGCAGCTCCGCCGCCAGCCCCAGCATGGCCCTCTCCACCTCGGCCTCGAAGGCCGGCTCTCTGCTCACCGTGCGGTACCAGGAGGCCACGAAATCCCGCACCACCTTGCGCACCGTGCTGGCGATCTCCTCCTGCAGCCGCCGCTCGTCCGCAGCGCAGCGGGCCGGGGCGCGCAGGGAGCTGATGAAGCGCTCCAGCCGCAGGCGGCGGCCGCGGGGACCCAGCGCCGGGGGGCCCAGCCAGCCCCCCAGCACGGCCAGTGCCCCACACAGCAGCCCCAGAGCCCGCAGGTCCAGCAGCAGCTGCAGCGCCAGCAGCCAGCCCAGGGCCACCAGCAGCGCCAGCAGCGGCCGGCGGCACCCCGAGGGACCCCGGGCGGGCATGGCCGGGTGGGCACGGGGGGCTGCCACGGCTCGGTCCTCGGGCTAGGGGGATCTCAGGGACCGGGCTGGGCTGCCCGAGAGGGGATCGGGGGCTCGACCACCCCGAAAGCTCAGCGGGAGCTGGCACTCACAGAGCCCAGCCGGCCCGGAGCCCTCCCTGGGCTGGGCTGGGTCAGAGAGAGCGGGATCCTAGCGGGTCACACAGCCCGGCACACCGGGATTCTCAGCGGGTCACACAGCCCGGCACACCGGGAATACCCAGTGGGTCACACAGCCCGGCACACCGGGATGCACAGAGGGGTCACACAGCCCGGCACACCGGGCTCTCAGCGGGTCACACAGCCCGGCACACCGGGATATTCAGCGGGTCACACAGCCCGGCACACCGGGATGCTCAGCGGGTCACACAGCCCGGCACACCGGGCTCTCAGCGGGTCACACAGCCCGGCACACCGGGATGCACAGAGGGGTCACACAGCCCGGCACACCGGGAATACCCAGCGGGTCACACAGCCCGGCACACCGGGAATACCCAGCGGGTCACACAGCCCGGCACACCGGGATCCTCAGCGGGTCACACAGCCCGGCACACCGGGACACTCAGTGGGTCACACAGCCCGGCACACCGGGATGCACAGAGGGGTCACACAGCCCGGCACACCGGGATCCTCAGCGGGTCACACAGCCCGGCACACCGGGAATACCCAGCGGGTCACACAGCCCGGCACACCGGGATCCTCAGCGGGTCACACAGCCCGGCACACCGGGAATACCCAGCGGGTCACACAGCCTGGCACACTGGGATGTTCAGAGGGTCACACAGCCCGGCACACCGGGATCCCTGACTCGGTTCCCGGGCACAGTCTCCCGGGACCCCCACACCGGGCTCCTCATCAGGCACCGAGACCGAGCAGAGCCCCCCTGACCGGGCCCTCGCCAGCGCTGGGCACAGCTCAGCCCTTAGCGGGAACCGGGAGAGGCACGGATCCCGCCAAGCGCACTCCCGGAGCTTAGCAAACCGCGACCCTTGAGTGGGTACCCACTGAACGGACCCTTCAGCGGGCACGGGGACGGGTCCCCACCGCCCAGAGCCCTTCACCGAGCCCGCGGGTGCCGGGAGCGCGGAGCCGAACGCGGCGCACCGGGACCCCGGGCCCGACTCACCGCCCGGGCCCTCCGCCGGCAGCGCCCGCCGCTTCCGCCCGCACTTCCGCTTCCGGTGCTGGCGCCCACAGCGCCCCCCAGCGGGCCGGAGGTCTCACCGGAGCGTGCCGCTGTACGCGGTAAAACTATAATAATAATAATAATAATAATAATAATAATAATAATAATAATAATAATAATAATAATAATAATAATAATAATAATAATAATAATAATAATAATAATAATAATAATAATAATAATAATAATAATATATTATATTATATTATATTATATTATATTATATTATATTATATTATATTATATTATATTATATATATAATATATATATTATATATTATATATATAATAATAAATTATTATATAAATAATACTAATACTACTAATAATAAATTAGTATTATATATATTATATTATATATAATATATATAATATATAATATATATTGTACATATATTATTATATATATTATATAATTATATATAATTATTATATATAATAAATTATTATTATATATAATATAATATATATTATATATATGATAATAATAAATTATTATATAATGATTTAGTAGTAGTAGTAGTAGTAGTAGTAGTACGCCAACCACTTGGTTTTTAAAATTTTTAAAGTTTAATAATAATAAAATGGTTATAAAAATAGTAATACAATTAGAGTAATAAAATTTAGAGTTAGGACAATTACACGACAATAAAAAAAAAAAAATCAAAGGATTACAGATGTCTGGATGCATCCAAGCTTGTCAGCTGCCCCATGGCTCAGAATCCTTGCTCCACAGAGGGATCACACTTCCTACATCCCATGTCCCTCAAACCTTCCACACAGGGATCACACTTCACCATATCCTGTATCTGTGGATGTGGCAGCCTGGCCAGAGAGGTTTTCCCTGACCTGATAAGTTTTTCTCTGAGAGGTTTTCTCTGACCTGATAAGTTTTTCTTTGAGAGGTTTTCTCTGACCTGATAAGTTTTCTCACAGCGGCCTTGTGAGACTTTTTAGAGAGCTGTAGAGAAGCGATGATAACTTGTTATTATAAACAACCTGCAGGTGGTGTTTTCCTTACTTTCTGTTTTCCTGTTCTTCTCAAGGATTGTCTCTAAGAAAGGTGTTTTTGTTAATTAGCCAATCAGGTGAAATGTCTCAGAACAGTCTATAAAAGAAAGAGTTTTTCATATTAAAGCTGCTGCTGTCCTTCTTGTAGTCTGTGCCACTTTCTCATCTGTCCCATGTCCCTCCAGCCCTGCACAAGGTCTGTGCCCTTCTGGGAGGCAGCACCAGCTTGGGTTGATTAACTTACTCCAGACTCATAAATCGAAGGAAGTGGATTTGGGGAAGAACTTTCCTGCCTCCAGTAAAACTTGCCTTTAAATTATTTAACGAGCTGCTTAAGCGACTCAGCCGTTTTGCCTGGAATTTGTCAAGGCTCCACCGGCTCGATGTGACAGCCATACTTTTATTATGAGCGGCGTATTAATCTTGGAAAAGTGCTATTTGTTTTCCTCTCTTGCTTTTATGGTGCTTAAAAGCATGTATCTTCTGCTGAAAATCAATAACTAAAGCTATGAATAATAAAAACCACTGCAGTGAATGGCTCGTAGAGATCCTACGGGTGGAAGTTGCAGCAGTAATGACTCTGTTTGCTATCCATTAAGTATGTGAACTCAGAAGAATTATGCAGATTATAATAGCTGTATCAACATAAGTATGTTTTGCTGATAGACTTTGCTGATTGGATCCACGGGATATAAGCCTGCTAATCCCTTGTGCAGAGGACCTGATTATGTTAGAGTGCTCTGCAGATTTGCAGATAGGAAGTTAAGGAACAATTAAAAATAAAATAAAAAAAAAGTTGGCTGTTGTGTGGGGTTTCTCAAAAATGCTGTGTTTGGGTTTGTTTGTGAAGCAAACGTGGGTTTTCCCATGGCTTTAGTGGAAGCCAAAAGCCCAACTCCAAGCTCTGGTGTAAATGTAGATGTTTTGTGTGCAATAAGTGTGAGTTGCCCTGTTCTGAGCATTAAATGTCCCAGCAGTGTTGCACAGAGAGGCTTGAGCAGTGATTTGGGGCTGGGAGGGGACCTCAGGTGCACAGCCAGGTGACCAACCCCGAATTGCAGGTGGATGTTGGATGCTGCCAACATCCCCTCCTCCCTTCAGCTTTTCAATGATGTGGCTGAAGCTCAGAATGGAACTGCAACGGGGAAAAGAAAAAAAAAAACCAAACAAAAATCCCACCCTGTAATTAAAATAATCAGCTCGCTGCGCACTTGGCACAAGGTTAAACGTCACTGCAGTTCCGTGGGTGAGATTCTGCCTATTAATATCACCTTGTTAACACAGTGTGTCACCTCAGGAGGTGACAGTGTGTTCTCAGGAGGTGACAGTGCGCTCTCGTAAATGACAACATGCTCCACAAAACCTGCTTCCTCCTTGTTTTTACAGTGCTCCAGCTCTCTTCCAGCTGGGCAAGCTGAGGCTGTGCCCCAGGGAAGTGATGGATCCTCCTTGCCTGGCTGGGTTTTTGTAGGAATGTTCCCCCTGTTGAGGGAGTGACCAAATTACCCTTTGTCTCCTTAAAAAGGAAAAAAGCCCACAAGTTTCTCTCCTCAATTTGGTTAAAAGACACCTCATAGGACCTTGGGGACTTCACCTCAAACCTAAGGATACCCAACTGGACAGAAGCCAGAAGGTCCCACCTAGGTAATTCACTAAAAAAAGAAGAGAACAAAGTAAATAATCACTTTTGTGGGGTGTTTTAGCAGGAGCAAGAACCCCTTGCCCTGGCTTGGGGGGTTTTTCTCTGTAAGAGCTTTGTTATTTTGCCTTTTAATAAAACTTTTTTGTTTCTAACACTGTCTCAGAAGCCATCCTGCTGATTTTATACCATCTGGGGTAGCTGAGCTATCTGGGGTGTGTTACCTTTCTCTGAGAGCTTGAGACCTGGCTCGAGGAGATCAAGCATCAGGCTTTCATTCCACTGAGGAGGTGCCTCAAGAGCTGTGTCCAGGGCTGGCTCCTCACTGGAAGGGAAACACTGAGGGCTGGGAGTGTGTCCAGGGATGGGGAAGGGATGGGAGAGTCAGTTCTGTTGAAACAGAGATTTTTGGAGCTCACTTAAGTTAACAAAATTAATTAAGCATTTATATTCTAGCTTGTAGAGTTATGTGTTGAATTTTAAACTTTTATTTAAGAAACCTTTGCCATGGTACAAATGGCGTAAGAAAATGCAAATTTCTGAAGCTTCTCACATAAAGAACAATACCAGGGATGCAAAGAACCCAGATAAAGAGGCTCCTCTGTCTCCAAGCCCATCAAGACTGACAGATGTGCTCAGATAAGCACCAAAGGACCAAAAGTGCATGTGCAGAGAGTTCAAAAGTTCAACCATGAGGAAGACCACGATCTTCAGCCTCAAGAGACCACCAGAGACCCCCAACAGGACCACCACAGCAAACCAGGCGTGCCCAGAAGGTTGTGGACTTATTTAGCATGAGAGGCGAGGGCAGGCAGGGCCAGGGGTTGAATATGCATGGAAAAGTTGTGCAGTGTACTGTGTATGGAACACCTTTGGGAATAAAGGTGTGGGTCAGACTGAGGCTTGGGGCAGAAATCTTGGAGAAATATCTCACTTGTGCCAGGTGCTGACATACATACCCACTTCATACCTCCCCCAGGCTGTGGAGTCTATTTATTTATTCCGTATTGCTTCACTGTGAGGAGAGGCTGGAGGGGCTCAGCCTGCAGCAAACGGGGCTCAGGGGGAACCTCCTCCTCCCTGACAGGAGGGGCAGCCAGGTGGGGTCAGGCTCTGCTCCCAGGGAACGGGCACAGCGCAGGGGGAAACGACTCAAGTTTCACCAGGAGAAGTTTAGCTTGGGTGTTAGGAGGAATTTCTTCATGGAAAGGGTTGTTAGACATTGGCAAGGGCTTCCCAGGGGGGGTTTGCAGTCCCCATCCCTGGAGGTGTCCCAGGAAGGCCTGGAGGTGGCACTCGGTGCTCTGGGCTGGGGACAAGGTGGGGACTGGGCACGGCTTGGACTCGATTTTGGAGGGCTCGTCCAAGCTCAGTGATTCTGTGCAGATGCTTTGCTTTGCAGCAGCTGAGCCATTCCTGCTCCCTGTGGGATGTACAGCCATGTGTCAGGCGTGGAAATGCCCCATCCCTGCACTCCTTGGCCCTGTCCTTCCTAGAAATATGCTCTTTTTTTTTTTTCCTTTGGTTTTTTGGGTTTTTTTTTGAGTCATGAAAGCACCTTTCCACCAGAATATCTTTTCCAGCATCTCTGCTCCATGCTGAGGGAGGGGGAGCAGCATCACAGCTTGTCAGAGTTTTGGGGTTTGAAGTGGGAACTCCTGCTCAGTGAACTGGATGAGTTTGCGACAGTGTTTGCTGCAAAACTCCTTTGTTTTTTTGGGATCAGTCAGACCTGGGATGAGTGGCTTCAGCTGTCTTTCCATCTGCGGGAGGTTTGCAGCTGGCAGTGCTACCTGGAGTGGACCTTTTGTCCTTGTGTCTGTCTCTTGGCCCCCAGTCAACTTGAATTTTGCCTCAAGTGTGGCCCAAAAAAGGAAATTTATAGCTTAATGGGGCTTCAGGTCCACAGGACAATCATTTATAGCTTGAATTCCATCTGGGATGTGAATGCATTTAATTCTGGTGGGGCAACTCCAAGAAGGGAGCTGTGTCTATGTTACAATATCAACCATAGGGTTGTCCTCATCTTTTCCATTCAGCAAGAGTGGGAGAGCAATGCTATGGATTGGGTTGGATGAGGAATTTATAATCAATACTGGTGATTTAGTGGCTGGGCAACCCATTTTGCTTCATGCCACGGAGGTGTTGCCTCATGCAGCAGCCTGCCCTACCCCAGCTAGCATCTCATTAGCAAATAAAATTGTTATTTTCGGGCTAATGCTGTGAGTTAATGTGATGTGAGCATCACCAAACCCCAAACGTGCCGCACGCAGAGCAGGGCGAGTCGCAGTGATGAATGTCATGCAGAACTCAGAGGCACTAATTG